CTGACCTGGAATATCCACCTGTTCTGTTCATGGGGAGACAGATGTCATGGCCAGATTACAGTTCCAGAGGTGCACAGATTGTATAGAATTAAGAGTTTATTTATTTATTTATAGAGAGATTTTTGCTATAGGGTACATGTGTTCCCCAGAAAGACAGAGAGATACAGAAAGACAGAAAGCAAGAAATCACCCTCCAGGGGGGATGGTCATGTTGCATTCTCTTCTCCTCCACTCTCTTCTTTGGATTTTGGGCACACATGCACATGTGCCCGGAGTGAGTGTTAAGCCACCAGGTCCGGGACTAGAATGGCTGTTGACTATGTGGGAGTCCAGTGATGTAACCATTATGCCACCTCCTGGTCCCAAATCATGAGCTTATTAACAGTACCAAAACTTGAATTGTCTTACAATGATTTGTAAGTACTCCTGTGAATAAGTGATGAGGCTATGGAATAGTGGTACTTATGAACAGTTACCTGTGTGTCTTTTCTTTGTGTGACTGCGCTCCTGCGTGATTTGTGCAGGTGAAATTAGGGAGGGACATAGAATGACTGATTAGTTGGTGAGGCCGTGAGTCACTATGGGATAAGAGATGGCAAGTTGGAGGGGATCTTGTTTCTAACCCTAGAACTCTCTGAATCCTTATAATCGTAGACAAGTTACACTACACTTCTTACCTACAAATTGAGGGGGTAGTATTCTTTAATTGTATCAGCTTAGCTCTTGAATTTTTGGTTTCTATGATTTTATTTTTTTTTAAGATGAAAAACTTTGAGGGGCTGGTTGTGTGGTCCAGCTGTTTGAGAGCTGGATGCCACATGACTGACTACACAGTTTAAATCCCAGTCCTCTTGGCTTAAAAACACCCATGGTCCTCATGTGTGCAAGCTCTCAAATCCTGACCAGATGGAAACATGTAACAGAAGCGATTGTGGTGTAACCACACCCTATGCAAGGGGTGTTTCCTCCTAATCTCTAACTCTCTCTCTTTCTCCTTATCTCTTTGTTTCTCTGGTGAGCACATGACCCTTAGGCTTAAAAAGAAAAACAAAATAAAGAGAAACCAAGGATGGGTTATAAAAATCACTTCCTCCATCTTATAACCCAGGAAATATACCAAAGGAAAATATCAAGTCTTCTTTGGAGCTTCCCCTTAGTAGGAATGGTGTCTCATAATGACTGTGGCATTGTTCCTAGGATGCATGCCCCTCCTGGCTACCTCTTCATTTGTAGAATGAATGTCTTTGCCCCATTGATCTGTCATTTCCAGTGAGATGTTAGGGAGGGTGCCACAGTTCCTTGATATTTGGGAGAGAGAGCAGGAGAGGGAATCCACTGGTCATGCCCTCAAGGGAAGAGGCACCTTAGATTGCCAAGACCTGATCAGCAGAGAAGTACTGGCCAGAGGAGTATTAGTTGTGGGGGGTGTAGACTGAGGGTGTGGCATATTTGTCATTTGAGGTCGGTATTTGCCGACGGGAAACACCAGAAAACTGGAGCCAAAGGTTGTAGAGAGCAATGTCTAACCTTTCTTTAATCCTTTCCCCAGTTAGAGGGAGGGCTTTAAATTTTCTCTGCAGTTGACCTCCTCAAAGTTCTACACAGCTATCGTTTTCTTTCCTCGTTGCCTGAGAGAGAACTTCCAGCTCTTGCTTTGTATATGAGAGTTTCCTTTCTAAAAAGGCGTCAGAAAGAGATTCTGTAGTATGACATGTGTGTGCTCACACAGATACATGCACACACATGCATGTTTATATAACAGAGAAAGAATGTTGAAATGTCACCAAAGCTCTCAGGTAATTTATTCACTGAAGATATGAATGATTTCTCATATTGGAAATATTCACAGAAAAAAGCCTTTAAATAGCTAATTGCTTGGCAAATGAGATTACTTAGTCCCAGAATCAATAAGTTTCTCCCAGTACTTTGCTATACCTCAGTATTCTCTTTTATTGGTCAAAAATGTAGCTATTTATCCTTTATTTTCATTTTTTCCCCATTTTCTTCTGTGGTAGGTGGAAATGAGTATTAGGCACCTCTAGTTGCCCACTTGCTTGCCTTCACTTCATTTCTAATTAATTTTGTGTATGGTTTAAGGTAAGGTTCCAATTTTATTCTTTTGCAATTGGATATTCAGTTTTCCCAACACCCTTTGTTGGAGAGAGTATTCTAACCCCATTGCATCATGTCAACACCTTATTAAAGTTTATTTGCCCAAAAAAAAAAAAAGATGTATCATGTTGTCTACTTTTCTATTATTTGCCCCCCCAAAAAAAGATGTATCATGTTGTCTACTTTTCTAAAACCTCAGTAGCACCACCCATCCTATGGACAATCCCAGCAGGTGAACTGGTGGGGATAATTGTGCTTGCTTATGCATGTAACCTGCGATTAAGGAAGGGCAGATCCATTCCTCCTTTCCTCTTGCAATAGATAAGGTACAGAGAACATCAACGCATCTAGAAATTTAAATATGTTTGATACTTAAGTAGAAGTTGCTTCTGAACTGAGAGCTTACAATGGGTCAGACAGGGTTCTAAGTGCTGTCCTTTGATTTGAACCTTAAGGTGTGGGCGTGGCTGTTTGCTCCATTTTACAGAGGAGAAGACTGAGGCATAGCATGGTTGTTTCCTTCTTGAGGCTGTATGGCCAAGAGCTCTAGCTTTGTGAAAACATTCTTTTTCTAATTCACCACAGGGCATCTGCACTTTCAGAGAGGCAGACAGAGGAAAAGTGGGGCATCAGCCAGCTGCTGTCACTTCTCCATTCTTGGGATTTGGGGCATGCATGCACATGTGTCCAGCATGTTTTTCAAGCTGCTGGGTTTAGGACTCAAACAGTATAATTAGCCACTTGGGATCCAGCTAGCTTAGCCACTGCATCATCAGCTGGACCCCTCACACATATTCTTTATTTTAAAATTTTTATATTTAATTTTTGCTATAGCAGGTATACAATCACTGGAGAGAGAGGGAAGTGTGAAATCACCCCCCAGGGGGATGGCCACATGTGAATCCCTTCTCCTACATTCTGTTCTTGGGATTTGGGGTGGTCATGCATGCACATGCATGCAGTGTAGTTTTTAAGCTGCTGCACTAAGTCCTAAACCTCAGAGTTGGCCATACAGATCCAGCACCGTAACCCCCATGCCACCTGCTGGTCCCCCACACACATATTCTTACCTTGTACTACATATTCTTTCCTTGATCTTGCCTCTCACAGTAGAGGGGCAGCCTCCTGAAGCCAGAGCGCCAAGTGCAGACCAGTGTGAGGGAGTTGAGGGGCTCCCAGAGGCAGTAATTGCCAGCCCTCATCTGAAAGGCTTATCTATGTGTGTGTGGATTTCTAACTTCCCTAGGAGGAGGTGTGCTGGTTTCTGTGTCACATCAGGTAAGAGCTGGCAACTGCTGGTGTGCGAGCCAGCTCCGGTGGTCTCGCCTTGGCAGCGTGACTACACTCTCCTAAACAGGCTCCCCAGTGGCCTTCCTTCCTTACAGGATGACATTTCTTTGGGAAATCTTGCCCCTCATGGTGCCGGCTAAACAAAAATAGATTTTCTTGCAATATTCCTTATTCTCAAAGATCCTTAAAGTGGTTCTGCACAGAAAGCAAAGATTCAGCTGCAATAGAAGATGGGAGGCCATCCCCCCAGGCTCTGCGGTAGAGAGCGCATGTGCCAGGCAAAGCTCCTCTGGTACTGCATCAGCCAGCACTGTGATGGTAAGGAGGAGATTTCCACAGTGTAGGATGGCAGTGCCCTCATGGCACAGACAAACAGTGAGAAACCTGGGTGCCCAGGGCCCATGACTCAGACCGTGAGACCACCCTGAAAGTGAACTTGGTCTCCCACAGTGTCTATACAAGTGCCATCATCACTCGTTTCTCTGGGTTAGCAAATCTGTCCTTATATCTTCCCACCTCATGCTACTGGAAACAATCTACGTTTGTTTCCTACTGGTGCTAGAAAGGCTTTCTCTGTGTTCTAGAAGTAGCCTTGGACCAGCCCATTATAACAAAACCTTCAGCTTTGGGGAGAACTCTTCCACATTCACTTGCACTTTCCATCCTGTGCCAGTTTCTTCCTCCATTGTTTACACCTGCTGAATTTCTCTCCCCTTCATCCCTGAGGCCCGCTCGTGTTGCCTCAGTTTCTCATCCACATGATGTTAGGGAAGATCTCATGATCACAACTAGTGGCCAAAGCATCACACAATAAGGGAAGCCCGCTATCAGTAGCAGTTCCTAGAATCTACAGCAATACAGTCTGGGCCTAATGGAACTAATGTTTATGTTGCTCTTCCCCCGGCAGTCTGCTGATCACGGCTGCATAATTCACTGTTCCTGCCCTCCATCACTGAAAATCGATGGTCTCTTCTTATTTCCTGTTTCACACTTGGGTAACAGAGCTGACTCAAACCTGAACGTCTTCAGTCCTTTGGGCAGACTGACAAGTAGATGCTCCTAAACTCATCACAAACTGAATCCTTCTGACAGGGCGGAGTACTGTAATACTGGGCCTTGGTTTAATTCACGTCTTACTATGAAATGTGGTGAATGCAGGTAATGGGACAGGATAAAGAGTCATGAAGAATAGTTACATATTATCTAAGTTAAATTAAGTTTCAAAATGGAACGTCCATGTTATCTTGTCTGTTCTATACACATCTAAAAAGCCAATTAACGTCTTACACTTACTTTAGTCTCTCACACACACGCACATACATCAGCTTGCACACAAATACATTAGCTTACACACACTAGCTCACATGTACACACTCACCAGTGGCTTTCTCACCAGTCTCTCATGTGTGTCTGTTGACATGGCGAATGCCTCTTTGTATTCTGAGGTTCAAGGAAAAGAGTGCCCTATGTATTCTTAGCAGGAGGACATTTTGAAGCCAAAATTATTGCGTTTTATTTCCATTTTATTGAAATTTTTATAAACTCTAACTTTTTTGGATCCATTAAAAATAAAATTATTCTCTTTTTGTATTTTGTAGAAACTACCTCTTCAGGTTACAGCTTGAGGATCTGTCGCTTATCCAGGTAGGTGCAATTTATTTTTCTCAAGCTTTCATTTTCCATTCCAATTAATTCACTGTTGGAGGGGATGAAGACAGATGCATGTAAAGGTATTAATCAAGGCTGAGCAGGGATTCATTTCATCAGTCTGTCAGGCTGCAGGACTATCAGCTGCCCTCTTCGGTATGAGTCATCACATTCTTTAATTCCCAATTAGCCTTTGACTCCTGCTGTGTGACCCTCTTGGTTTCCTGGGTGTCTTCCCCATGTACTCTTCACCAGATGAAAGACCGTCTGTCGCATATTACCTCAAAGTCTGGGAGCATCCCTTTCCTTCCAGGGAGAGTAATCACTGGTCATTACATGTATCTGGCCATCCTGTTGTAGAGCATCTTTGTTCTCTATCCTTTAAGATTACATAAATGTGATTATGTGGGTTTGAAAGCCACAGGTAGCAAAAAAGTAAGTGATAAAACAGAAGAATACAGTTTGCTTCTTTTCATCACTGCAGTTTGGAGAGTGAGCCTGAGAGCCATATGCTGCCTGAGTGCAATATTTATTTTAGGGGCAGACCTAAATCACAGATGCCCACTTTTGTCCCTTTTTCCTTGAGAGGGATCCAATAGTAAGAGGAGTGGTTATGACACAAATATTTCTCAGGATTCTGGAACCCCTTGTGACCTGGGCCAGAATCCTTCGGTGCGCATAGTTTGGGGGAAGTTCTCCAATAATCTTGTTCTAGAGCTCTTAAAAGTTATTGGGGAGTTTTTATTATCTATTCTCTGTGTAATGATAATATTTATGAACACTAAGGAAACTTAGAGTTAAATTTTAATATTTAGTCCTATATTTTATTCACAAGGGTCTTAAATATATCATTACTAGAGTCAAGGTTAAAATTGGTAAAAACGTAAGGGCTTTAAAAACCATTAAACTTGGAATATAAAATGGTCAATAATTACTACTAACTTCATAGTATCATGGCAAAAATTATGAAATGCAAAAGAGATAAAGCAGAGCAATTTCTAAATGATTGTTTATGGCTTTTGTTTTTTAAATATGATAATGATAAACCATAAATATTTATCATTATAGTTTCATAACAATTGGCAATGAATTGCCTTTCTACTGTGCTTTAGTTTATAACTAAAATTTTTAAGTGAGCTGATTAGTTGGCAAAATTATGAATTGACTAATAAGATAAAAAAATAACAATTTGAGGACCTATGTTCAATGAAATAAGCCAGGCACAGAAAGACAAATACTGCATGATCTCACTTAAACAATTCAGAAACTCGTAGAAGCAGAGAGTAGTCTGGTAGTTACCAGAGGTTTGGGGATTGGCGACATGGCTTGGAAAGATATTCATCAAAGGATACATACAAAGTTCTGGGCCAGCCCATGGCCTGGTGGTTAAGGTCACTAGATCCTACATGGCCAACCATGTAGCTCAAGTCTCAGACATGGGTCCTTGAAAAACGTCCTGGGTGCTTGTGCATGCGTTCCCAGGATCCCGAAAGGAGGGAGAGAAGGAGAAGAAAGCATTATGATATGATCATGCCCCATGAGGATGCTTTCTCACTTTCTTTCTCTATTTCTCACTTGGTCATCTCTGTAATAAGTACACATGCCCTCTGACAAAATTAAAAAATAAAAAGGATACATATTTCCAATAAGATAGGAGGAGTCAGTTCAAAAGATTGAGTGTACAACTTGATGACTGTAGTTAATAATATGTATTGTGTTCTTTATTCAAATATTTATTTTATTTTATTTATTAATTCATTTAATTTGATGAGAGAGAGAGAGGGAAAGTGAGAAAGCAAGCCACCAGGTCCAGGACTTGAATCATGGTCAGCCATGTGGGAGTGTCTAGCACCTTAACCACCACACCACCTGCTGGTCCCTGTGTTCTTTTTTTAAAGAATTATTTATTTAATTTTATTTATTCATTCATTCATTTATTTTAATTTGATCAGAGAGAGAGAGGGAAAGTGAGAAAGCAAGCCATCAAGTCGGAGACTCAAGCCATGGTTAACCATGTGGGAGTGTCCAGCACCTTAACCACCATGCCACCTGCTGGCCCCCTGTATTGTGTTCTTAAAAATGGATAAGAGAGTAGATAATAAGTTTTCTCTTCACAAAACAAAGTGTGTAAGGTAAAGTCCATGTGCAATAGTTTTATTAGCTGTTCTACAATGTACATATAAATTGAAATATATCGTTCATCATAAATATATATAATTTTTGTCAATAAAAAGAGTAATCATCAATTTAATCAAAATTCCATTTTTAAGAATTATTTCAAATAATCTCATAAAAATATAGATATCTTGATATCAGTAGGTAGTGTGGAGGTCAGGGGCATTGGATTCTCACCTGGCCAACCGTGGTTCAAGTCCCAGACCTGGTGGCTTACTTGCTCTCTTTCTCTTTGTCTTTCACTGGTCAAAATAAAAAAAAATATTAATATAAATAAAATAGTTCTTTAAACAATTATTTAAGAAATCTCTCAATGGTTAAGAATCACATATTATGCTCATTACGTTCTTGGCATAATATACTCTCCAGCACATAATGTGTTGGAAAGCGGGCTGTGTAAATATGTGTGCGTATAACATATGCTTACCGGTGTACGCTCACTTCTCAGTATCTTAGCTCTGTTGGCGGAGAAACTCTACAAGCATTGTCATCACAGTAACAATGAGTGCACATAATACACTGTACTTGTTTTCTTTACATTTTAAAATTTATTGTTATTATCATTTATACATTCAATCACTATATATAATTTTGATTGTAAAGAGACTTTACCCAGCATGATATATACCTCAGTGCAGCCCAGTTGAGACTATTATATTTTATCTGTTGTCCTCGTCAACAGATAACATCCTCATCAACAGATAATAAGCAATATCTGAATCCCACAAATGTCTTACCTATTTTTTCCCCAAATTTTCTTTCCTACCTTCTTCCCCTCCCACACTCTCCTTCCACTTTGTCTCTAGTGTTCATAAGAATTTTTAATGCTTTTTTTATCCTCCAGTCTTTCAGTCTCTACCATAGAGTGCAGAAAGTTGGTGTATGTTAAGTGGAGACGTAGTGTCTCCCTTTCATAGCCTGACCTGCTTCACTCAGCAACAAATCTTCCATGGTC